TTATTTTAATTACTTTTTATTTTAAAATGTGTCCAAGTACATTATCCTAATGTTTTTTTTATATATAATTTTATCTAACACACAAATCGTATTATCTATTAAACATAACAAATATTTTGGTATTGTAGAGTCCACAAAAAAAATTGTGGACTTTAAGAAATTTATATTGAGAAGGAAAAATAAATTCTTTATAAGTAATCCGTCTTGTATGTAGTATAAGGCTTTTAACGTTTTTCTGAAAGACTCAAAAATAATTAAATGACTATCTGTAATAACACAGTCAAATTAATATAACTATATCTTTGCTCTAAATTATTTTTTTTCTCTATCTTATCGATTCATGACCAGATATTTAAATAGTTTTGCACTGTAAGATTGTTATTTTATAATTTACAAATTATAAAATATGAAACATTTGGTAACTTTATGAATAACAAACTAATTTTTAACTGCTGCATTTTTATTTTGCTTAATTTTTGTTATATGTAAAACATAGGAAGCAGTATGATGACGGAAATGTACTCAAATTGGTTTGGGTTCATTCAGCCATGGTCGTATAGAATATTTTTAGTTTTTTTTTATTCTTCTTTTTTATATTATCTTTTACCATCAAACAAATTTACTAAAAATCAGTTTCTTAAGTTAAATGGAAAATGCATGAAAGGTTAAAATTCAATAAAAACCACATCATTGTATAAACATTTCTTTCTTAGCTGCGCATTGAAGCTAATAAATTACGAACACTTTGAACATGATTAAATCATGGTTTGATAATAATCTGGTAGAACTTAATTCAAATACAACATGTTTCGTCAATATTATATTACTAAACAGTCCGATAATAACAATAATATTTTCTTAATGTACATAATAATGATTGTGTTGAATATTATAGAGAAGGATGTATTAAAAATGGAAAGATTATTAAAACAATAGGCCGTACATCTATAAATCTAGTCGACACGGTGAAATATTTGATAAATACTATCGATTCTAACTTTAAATGGCAACAACGTATTATAAACACGGCTAAAAAGAGTAGACTACTATTTTATAAATTTAAAACTTATTGTGCCATAATATCTAATAAAACCTAGCTACTCTGTCAGCTCCCGGAGACGTTTGAATTGTCCTCTCTTGATCTTGCAATAAACTGTGAGACACAGGTACTTAAGCACATGTAATTGTTGATGAAAACAAAATAAGTGGAATTGCATTAATTGTTAATGCAAGAGCATAATAGGTATAGGACATAGGAATCATCAAAGCATGATTTGGTTTTTAATTGTAAACGTGTAAGTAAATAGTTACCTACACAAGGAAGTGTCAGATTTGTAAAATGTATGGTTTTTATTTTCAACTATACAAAAATAAGTTTGTATTATTTGAACATCCGTCTTGTAGTAACTATACGTTTAAACCCGTATTATTATAGCCCACCGAGTATAAGATCATCAATAGTAATTTTATTACAGTAACTGAACGTTTATTATACTGGTTTTTCTATGTTTGCACAAAATCTTTCAACTTTTTCACTACCCTCATTTTATTACAGCTTAAAACATTTCTAAAACAATAAGAGAGTAATATATTTTTTTTTTTTAAGTAGGGGACTGAAGAACCGTATATGTACTGAAATGTTTATCTGTGTATATATTATAGAATCTATAATAGAATTAGTGTATGAACATATCGAAAATAAATAATACAATTATCTAGATATTACAAAGAAGTACTTACAAAGTTTGCCAGTAAAAATTAATTTATGACTACATGAGAGTGGGTGATATTCGAATGCTTTCTTAAATTGAGAATGTACAAAATCTGCCCTTTTAATTATATCTATTTTTAGGATTGTTAATGAATAAATTGTCAATAGTCGAATCAAATCCTATCTTTCGCTCAGCGTTAGTTTTATTCATATCCTAAACATTAGAAAAATGATTGAGTGACACGAATTTGAACTCAGATTTATCATAGCATATTGAGTACTCGTTAAGCGCTCGACCCTGCTTTTAGTGGATGAAATTGATTGAGTTTTATAACTTAATTAGATTATTTCAATTTATAATCAAACATATTTTATTTTACCCAGCTATTAAACAAGAAGAGTTTTTAACGCTCAATATTTTAACGCTTTCTTAATTTAATTTTTTAATTTCAGTTTTTTTTTATTGATTTTTAAAATGTATCAAAAACAATATTTTATGCGGTTGATATGCATAACCACGTGTTCCTAAGGTAATTTTTTGAATACCTTGAAACCAATTTTACCAAATACACAAGATACCAACATTATTACGGGTTATAATACATTAACATAAAAATATAACGTCATGTTTTTAGTATAAAATCGAATATAAGCAAACTAGTCTATATTCTTTTTGTCTAAGTGTCTGGGTTTTACCAGATAATTACAATTTGTGGTTACGTTATTCAAACTAAATTATTTGATAAAGATGTTTTGAGTGACTGAACCAATAATAGGTTTCCAACTTAAAATATTATTTCCAGCGCTCGAATAACTTGGCTACAATATTTTAATTCTATTTTGACTAATTCCACGTATGTAGTAAAACTATTTAAAAATGATCACTCACTACTGTATTGTTTTGTTATTACATATTATATTGACGGTCAACTTTATAATGATTGAATCAACAAACAAAGTAAGCATTATTTATTTTCGATATCTTAAAAGATAGTTTTTACACACTTATTATTTATAAAGTCCTAAAAATGTTGATTGATACTACCAACTGGTCCAAATTTTAGCTAACATACCAACCCCCATTTATATTATATTATATAAATGTATAATTTAATAAGTTTATAATATATTGTTTTAAAAGTTGACAGGTGTCAGGAATTTACTAAAAAAGAGAATTATGTATACAGGGTGGCCCACGAAGATTTGACAAATGAAATAACTTTTGTTCTAGTGAATATTTTTAAGATTTTTTTTAAAAATAATTTATACTCATTTGCGCTATAAGCACAGTGGTTTTAATTGCACTTACCTGTTTTACTTTTTTTAATAGTTTTTTTTTCAAGATAGCCATTTTGTTCAAAATAATTTTTAAAAAAGAATTGGTAAGAAAAATTTGTATTTTTATTCATCCGTTCAAAAGTTATATTCATTTGAAAGTGAGGATGACTGTCGACGGGAGGTTGAGTGCGGTAGGTAACGCGCGCTGATAAAAATAAATCTACGCAGTTTACTTAAATAGTGAGGGTTTTTCTGATTTTGAGGGTGAAGGATTGATTTTTTTTAAATGTTACATTCAAAATGATAAAAAATTTGCTTTTTAAAAGAAAATTAGTTATAATAAATAAACATTTAGTTTGCTATAATGTCTAATGATTTTGTCTTGTTAGAATTTACAATGTATGAAATCATTGCTCTCGAATTAAATTTTTTTTTGCGTTTGTGTGAGCACGTGTTAATATAACTAAATATATTCAAATTCGAAGGTTATAATAAATTATAGGTTCACATACACACAAACATACATACATAGGCGCACAGACATAAAATTGTAGGATTTCTACACACATTTTAAAAATTATATATTTTTTTACAAAATTTTTACAAAAAAAATCAACATAATATATTACATTTTTAATAAAATTACGTATAAATATTATATAGGTAGGTACAATGTTTTTAAGGCCCCTGGATACCGACCATTTTTAAGGAGTTTTATAAAGGCAAAATTTTTAAAAAAAGGCGGTTTTAGTAAATTTCGAAAATGTCAATAAATATACCGGTTAATTTGTATAAACGTTATGGTATTATTTTTAATTTATATCACTTTTTCTATGAGTAAAAGCCATTTTAGTTAATATAATAGTACATTTTTTGTCCATCGCACAGGCTGAACCAGTGATCTGATAAGTAATCTGAAAACAGATTTGAATTCGTCATGTTTACTTGAGATCGCTTACGTTAAGTTAGGTATTTTGATACTTTGAAAACTTAGTCTCCCCACCTTATCCTTGATCTACCAAGTGTCACAACTTACATAGTATCTAGTGTATGAGAGGGCTATCTTTTCGCCATGCGTGGCCGGCCCAGCAGAACCGCCTCTTTCTTATCTCATCGACTATGTTTGGTTTCTGATATAGCTCCCTAATTTCCACGTTGTTATTTAGTTTTATAATGGTTTTATGACTAAAACATTTGTGATTACTCATAAATGTAATATTATATCTGCATTATAGCGAAATCCGTGTTTTAAAAGTTTGAAAACTAAAGCAGACGTCTAAACCAAGCGCAAACAAACCATTTTTTGCTAATTTGTGAACTGTTTATATTGTGCTTGATTTGGACTGTACTGGTTTGGTCATACTAACTACTATATGAAAACATTAGCTACTGATTTGTATCGAAGCATTTATTTGAAAGTGATTTTATCATTTTCAGTTGTCATAGTTCCTGTAAACTTATGACCGCCCCGTCACGCTATGCTCCGTCCTCGACATACTCCAACCACTATACTGGTTTTCTTAAGAATGTCATTTACAATGTGTACGATTTTCTAACTATTGCGTTGTATCTTATACTCGTATTAGATAAATAATAGTTTTCTCTTATATTTTCAGATTTCTGATTACAACTAGAAAATCAGATTCCAGCTCTATGAGGGTTTAGAGTATATTCATAAAAAAGTATGACGTCAAGCTTTTAGTAAACACTGATAAATAAAATACGATAAGTAAACTAACTATTTTTATTTTTTCTTAATGACTGGATTTACCCAGACAATTACAATTTGTAATTACGTTATATAACCAAAACTATTTGCTAAAGATGTTTCGAGAGTCTAAAACAATATTAGATTATCAATGTTAAACGTTTTTCCTAGCACTTCAATAATTCAGGTACATTATCACAATTCCATTTTGACTAATTCCACTCATGTAGTAAAAATATTTAAAAATGACCACACACGACTGTATTGTTTTGTCATTATATTTTATACTTTCAGTCAAATTTATGATGGTTGAATCAACAAAAAAAGTAAGCGTATTTTATTTTCCACAATCTTAAAATTTCGTTCTTACACACTTATAAGTTAAAAAGTCCCAACATTTTGCTGGCTATTTCCAACCAGCAATAGCATTAAATCCAAATCTCAGCTAACTTACCAACCCCCTCTTCTCTTCTCTCGTCTAAATACTAGAAAACCACCCAAAAAATGTACACATTTTTCAACTTAAAATTACGATGCACTATAGTTTTTTTAAAAATAGTCGAAAAAGTTCCAAATTTATATGAATTATTCTTCAAACATAGTACTATCGATAAACATTAACAAACCAAAAAAATATCATAAACACTTTCCCTAGAAGGGAAAGAATTTTTTTCTTTATTTTACTTTTTCAAGCAAAATTTTAGAGATTTAGATCTTAAAATTAAAGCAAAGGTAGATCTAAAATGTAACTATAACATATATATGATTTTCTCAGAAATCTGTAGTCAAATTTTTTATTATTAGGGAAAAACACCAAAAATAGTGTAATTTTACACATTGGCCGTAGTCAGTTTCTAGGTTGCTATGTGTGAGTGAATCAACAGTCAAAAGGTAATGAAAATATTTTCATCATATTGTTAATTACGATACATGGGTAACTATGATAGTACAATTTTATAGACATACTATCCACAGATTTGTATCGAAGCGTTTATTTAAAGGTGATTTCATCACTTTCAGTTATAATAAAATCTGTAGACCTGTGACCTCTCCGTCCCCACTATGCTCTGACCCCACTGTACTGGCTTTTTATATTCTTATTTCTATAACAGTTATGTAAACCACAACATTGTCGCCACGAAGCTATCGTTCTTGATTAACTCTTAACTCGTTTGAGTTATAACTGTAATATGTAATGTAACTATAAATTAATTAATGACCGTGCCACATTGTGGAACTTATTATAATTAGTGTTTCGTAAAATTATAGTATTCCCAACCAGCAATAGCATTAAATCCAAATTTCAGCTAACTTACCAACCCCCTCTTCTCTTCTCACATCCAAATACTAGAAGGCTGGCGAGAAATACATAGGTTCATTATACATCTATCACAACAAAAACACTCCATTTAGTTTTGTGTAAAAAAGAGGCATGTAAAAAAAATATTCTTTTAGCACTATAATGTATGTCATGTTTTGTTGAGTTAAGTTAAGTAAACCGAAAATGTTACCGATATATTTACAAACATATGTATTCTATACAACAATAGGTATATTATCATTGTAATGCATTCACAGTAATAGGTAATAGTTTAGTAATGTTTGTAAATTTGTTTTATCATTAAGCATACCAGTGCTTAAAGAATACATGTTTTATCTAACTATTTTTTACACAAAACAAAGTGAAGTAATTTTGTTGTGATATCATAAATTTGTATTTTATATTTTTATTTCCATAACAGTTATGTAAACCACAACATTGCCGCCACAAAGCCATTGTTCTTGATTAACTCTTAACTCGTTTGAGTTATAGTTCTAAATAATTATTGACCGTGCCACATTGTGGAACTTACTACAAATAATGTCTAGTAAAAAATTTCATGAGAATACTATCAAAAACAAATTATCTTAAAAATACCCATTATAATGGGTTTTAGTACTGTTGGTTGAAACGTGTAATAAAACTACGTTTAAGTGTATGCAAACTCTCAAATAACAATGTTTAAAACTAAAAAATTGTTAATAAAAAACAGATTGTTCACTCAATGCAAAGCTTATAACAAAATACCAAAATGTTAGCTCTATGAATGGTCAAAAATCAGTCTGACCGTCTGAACTTGTTTTAAACGTGCATGCCGTTTTTACCTCTTCATTTTGAGTTAAACAAAATATTTTAAAAAGTTTTATAATAATGACATTTTTGAAAGTTTCGTGATTTTGTAGTTTTGTACTTACAAAATCATGACGATCAATGTAGATATTGGAGAAGTTTTAGGGCAAGACGGTAATGCAGAAAGGTGATGAAGGAAGTAGTAAGTTTGTTAATTGACTTAGTACTTAGAAACCTGTAACATAATATGGTCCCTCTTATAAAGAGAACGTAAAATTGTTAAATTGGGAAATATTGTGAGTGTCAGTGTTCTGTATGCCAGGGAGATTCCTATACAGAAGAAAGGAAATTGTAAGGTATTACGATTGGGATTTCCAAATAGATTTAGATGACGCTAACGGTAACTATAAAAAAAAAAGTCCTATAATAAAACGAATACAAAGTTACATAATACAAACTATATAAACACTTCAACCATATGAGAATGAATAGTGATTCAGAAATTTATTTTAATATTATTACACAATACACATTAATTCAAGAAAACACCGAGACACCCCACCCAGACCTAACGATTATAATAAAAAAAAATTAAGAAACGTAAATCGAAAAAAAAAAAACCGTAATATTGTCACGTCACCGTCAACCAAAATTTTTTAAAATATTATAAACCATAATCGAATATTTTGGAAAAGCCTGTGTTGTATACCAACCTGCTACTTGACCAACTAATTACCAAAAGAATGAAACAGTAAAATAACATAAAAAGAAAGTCAAATTAAATATTAATAGTCGAGTACCTATAATATGTTTAGTAAATTGAACCGCCGTACGTATAATTTTCCCTAAAAGACATAACAAACCTGACTTAAAACATGTAATACAAAAATAGGAATTTACAAAAAAAAAATCTTATGTAAATATTTATATGTGAGTAGATATATTTGTTTTATAGGTTTCGCCGTCATATTACGTCAATCAAACATACAATCCTTTTTACGTTTTTATAGTGAACACTTTAAAAACCTACAATGAGCGAAAAATAAATTTAAGTAGAAAAGAAATAACAGTTTTGACAACCCCTGTTCGTACTTACTACGACACCAAAGGCCGCGAAATTGTGTTTGATAAATTTTATCAGAAAATCGAAGATATAAAATGTACATTCTCATTGATCGTGAAAACGAAACTGGCATACTTGTCTAATATTCTAGAAGGCTTGCAAAGTGGCGGAGCTATCGATGTTGCACGGGAAAAATTGAACGTATTAAAAGAAGAAGCTGGTTTTATGATCCTTTTGTTTCAAAAAGGCAATGTCAAAGCGGGTAAATGGTTTTGGAGTTATTATTTCAAAATCATGGCAATAACTGAATACAAGAGCAACAAACATTTTTTTGAGGAAACTCCTTTCGGAGAAAAAGAATTACAAAGCGATATTACAAAATTTATACAACACTGCAAGGATAACAAATACCTTCCCAAAAATATAACAGAGTTTGATTTTGTGTCAAAAAATTCCAATGTACCAATTTACATATTTCAAAAACTTCGTACGTCTGTTGCTGTAGATTATGTATACGGAATGCAATCTATATTGATAGACTATTTGTATCTAAAACCACTATGGGATGAACACGAATTATTTTTCAGTCAAATAACCGGCGCAGCCGTAGATTGGATGCCAACGATTAGACGCTACGCAGTCGAAGTGACTAAAACCAAAAAATACATTGAAAACCACCAATGGATATCGAAACCGTTCGGCCACCTTAGTTACCACAAGTTGATTAAACAAATTATCAGTGTGAGGATGTACACCTTTATGTGGGTAATGTTGGTAATATTCAACAAAGAAATGCATAAAAGGGATCTGGTTCAATTAAAACATTTGTATACTGAGTCAATGCGAATTATTAATATGGTAGAAATATTTATGCACTATACTGAAACTTTATTTTTTGATATAGTAGCAGAGTTTCGTTGTGCAATAAATGACAACCAAATCAACTTTGATAGCGTTATACCTAGAATGTCGGTAAGAGCTAATGAAATTCTAGTAGAGTTGAACGGGAGTAATTCAAATAGCAGTGATTGGATCAGTATTGACATAAACAAAGAATTTAATGATAATATGATAATACAATTTCTTCAAGAATTTGGCGGTAACTTTTGGCGGTTAAAAGAAAAGTTGACGGTATTAAATTATAACCTTGCTCTAAGTATTCTGGTTGAAGGAAATTGACGTTTTTGAGGTTAACGACAAATTTATTTGTCCAACATTGCACTTTTGTTTTTCTTAACTGCCTCTTACCTCATTTCATACTAATGCCATAGTAGGTCGGTCAAATCCTATATTTGATCATTCATATTTTTTTTCTACTAAATCCTCTAAATCTCTTTCGTTTCTTTTATTTTTTTAGTTACTTTTTTTTTAAATTTATATCGGTGTACATAATATTGATGTTTTTTTTTCTAAGAATTTTATCTAAAACACTTATCGAAGTTTCTATTTTACATAATGTATAATATAATAATATTGTTTTTTTAAGTTGTATGTTAGTCGTAAGAAATTCATGTATCTAACTTTGCACATATTATGTACTGTTTACGTTGTAATTCAATATATTTATTTAAAATACAATTTTTTTTTGTATTACACATAATAAATATTTAAGATATTATTTTTACATAATATTATACCTATATGAAATCTCATCGATCATCAATGATCTCGAAGCTTAATTTTGTGTTTAAATCCAGAGAGTTTTACAAATCACTTATTATAATAAGTCCATATTAAAATATGTAGTCGAAGTGTAGTTTCCCCCCTTTAATTTTGCTCGTTCTAGATTTTAATTTAGACCATAAAACTACAACTAAAAAAACCGAAACAAATTTGAAACTCTTTTGACTATATTTAATTAAAAGTTATAGCCTCTGTAATTTTAAGTTAAAAAAAAATATATAATTTTTTCGGTTTTCATATGGATGTTTTTTTTTTTATTTTTGGTACATTAAAATACCATTAAGGTACGATTTCTGATCTACCTGGCAACTCGCAACATCAAGAAATCGGTTAAGCGGCTTTAAACATAACATGAATTTCGGTTTTAAAAAAAATGTGTATATTACAAATAAGACAGTTATGCATCGAAGCAAGACCATCGGTGTTTAAAATTAGTAGAATACTAAAAAGACGACTATTTCGAGTCTACAAAAAAAAATCTGTTTTTTACAGCTTATTATATTTTGAATCTTACAATATATTTCATCATTATTGTTTTATACAATACACAGTCACATTTCACATGTCACACAGATAAAATTCATTACAAATTTCAGTGCATTATAATTTTCAATAAATAATTTAAAGTATTTTTTTTTTTTTTAATAAAAAAATGTACCAAAACGTTACATTTTTAAATACAATACACAACGAAGCTATTTAAAATATAATGTCTATATAGTTTACT